CAAGGTGGGACTAGAGTGAAAAAATGTCAAAAATTAAATTTACTATTTATTAGTCTCGAGGCTCAACTCTCTACAGTGTTTGTGGAAAAAACTAGAGGCTAATTAATCAAAATTACTAGTTTTTTTTAAACTTCAAAGTGAAAATCCCAAAATAGAAGAAACAAAAATATATATATTTGTATAGCCATGTGATGTAGTGGATAGCATCGTAGACTTCTGATCTACAGATTCAGAGTTCGAATCTCTGCACGAGCTGTTTCATATTTTTTCTTCTTTGCATTTCTTATCTCATAAATAGTCTTAAAATGGTCGTAAAATGAGCCAAAAATGATCTAAACAGGATCATAACAGGCTCATATTTTGACGACAAGAATGGGTTTAAAACTTGAGCATTAACAAATTTTATTTTTTGCTTACAATAAGTAAAAAGAGCTAAACGTTCTAATTATGTTCTAATTAGTTTACTGCGTTTGACTTAGAAATTTTGGCTTATCCAAACTGATGCTGATCAGTTTGGCGTTGTTCCGCAAGCCGAAGATATTAGTTTAATAGATTACTTAGAAGATCATTCACAGTTGGTAGTTCTTTATACCTTAAAAGATGGAACACAAGGATCAGCTGAGGTTCGGACCGAAGGTATTTGAACAACATAAATTATAAATATTTAAATACAGTTGATATATTGAATGTTCAGATATTCTGGATGAAACTTTAAATGCCTGTCGATATTCTATATCAGCTCAAAGACAAATTAACCAGAAGAATAAAAATTCGCTAGATCCATTTTTCGATGTTTTTGAATATAAAGAATTGAAAGAAATGGATAGAGACAAAAGTTTAAAGCCAGTGAGTTCAAGATTAAGTAAGTGAACATCTCTTTTGTTCTTATCAGTAAATTAAGAAGAATCTAACTTTACAGAAATTAAGCAAGTTTCGAATGATCAAAAAAGAGCTGATATGAAGGAAAAATCTACCAAACAGCATCCAAAAAACCAGCTGAAAGGTACAATAATAATCTTTGTATGACTCGCTTATGTAGGAGAAATACGTGTACAGTGGATCTTTTCTACTGAATATATGGAGGAACTTAGTAAAGTGCTTTTTTTGTGAGAATTGAGGCAAGTACATATAATTGTACTTTCCTTTGGAGAAAACAGTTTGAAGTCGTGCACGATAGGATAGGTACGACAGGATGTTCACATTTTCCCTTAACTCTCCTCATGCTAATTTAAATATCTTTTTTATTATAGGAAAAAAG